TTAATACGCAATTTCGACCAAATAACTGGCTCTATTTGTTTGGGGATTCATCACTTTATTTTTTTGTTGTATAATTTGTTATTTTTATAGCATGTCAAATGTGAAATTGTTATTTTTTTTTTTTTGAGAAATATTTTTTCTTGGCAAATTTATGTAAAATATAGGAAACTAAACTTATTTTAATTCTACAGTTATATTTATTCTGATTAATTATTACAGATATTATATTACCATCTGCAAGAAGAGAAATTACAATTTTAATTGATAAGTCATTTGACTGTAAAATTGTTTTGCAATTTAAATTTACTTAATTGAGCAGAATTTTATGCTTATAAACTTGGACTAAGCTTGATTGTAGACTTGACTGAACTTGATATGATTGATTGACTTTGTAACTAAAACTAGAGTTAGTCATGATTTTCATTGTGTAGGAATTTTGACTAGTAACGTCCGTTTCTCAGCATAGTTAGCATCGTCGATGGACAGAACGTTTCAAGATAAATCCTAAATTTTCATTTAACAAAAACTTATAATTTTTATCAAGCTGATACTAGATTTATTTTAAGTATAATCAACAAATAGTCAAGAAAAATATTAAGTAGGACAAATACTGTAAATACCAACACAGATTTGTTTAATACTTAAAGAAATGAAACTTACTGTTCAATGATGTTGGAGTTTACAGCTCTGTCACCTAGCGATAAATCGAAATAATCCCTAATGCAAAGTACAATTTAGTAAGTGACAGTAACAACAATTGGTTTCATCAATGCATTTGATACTCTTGATCCACAGATTGTTGAAATTTATAATTTAGGAAAAAGGATTTTGTAATTGCATAAGTGATATAATTTTTTTCTTAAATTTGGCTTGAATTCATACTATTCAGTTTGAAACAAAAAATGAAATAATTTACTAAAAAAGGAAAAATTATAGGTGGGCTTTTCCAAAAAACAGAACTGTCAGAGGTTTTAACTGAAATAGTAAAGATGGATCCAAACTTTGACAAGGAGAAATTTCTTAAGGAATGTGAAGATGAAATTATACCAAATATTTTAGAAGTAAGTATCAGTTACATTACAAATAGATTTCTTAAATATTAGTGAATTTTTGAGATTTTATGAACTCAAGCTAGAGTTTTAAAAATCTTAAACATGCTGTGATCTCAGGTAAGTCTATCTTATTAATATGATATAGTTTAATTTTAAGTATTATTTTTGTTGTCAAGTGACCTAAAACAACTTTTTATTGTCAACTTAATTAAAATAAAACCTTAGTTAGAAATATGTGATTTACTACAAAAAATGAATAAGTCATTTGTTAAATGGAGTTTTCATTAACTTTTAAAATAATATGTTTAGTTTTTTCTTTAATATTTCCATACTCAATATCTCTTTCATTCAGCTGTTATCAAGCTGGGGTATTTAAAAAAAAGTATTGTTGAATCAAATATTTTAGATTTTACTTAATAAGAAGTCTGATGTCATTAACACATTTTCTTTAACAGAATTTTTATATTTTCAGTTTGGTTCAAACTCTGATAGAGTAGTATAATTTACTGAGTCAATCTGCGGCACTATTTTTACAAACTCTGATTTATTTGCCATCCTAACCCAGTCAGACAAGGACTGTAATTGTAAAATTTACAGTAATTGTGAATTTGTTACTAATTTGACTTTATTTGTGAGTTAGTTAAAAATAATATACCAAAAAATTTACTTAGTTTAAATATTTTAAAATGAGAATACTTGAAAAATTGATATAGTACGAGGGTTGCTATTTATATTTCTGGCCTAATAATGAAAAAACAAATATGTAGGATCGAAATTGGTTTTATTGTTTTTCAAAATATTCTCCATGATAATCAATACACTTTTGCATGCGTTTGAACCAATTTTCAAAGCACTTTTTCCAGTCCGATGGAGGGATCTCCAAAACATGCGTTTTGAATGCATCAACCGCTTCTTCGAGGGTCCAAAATCGTTGTCCACGTAATTTATTTTTTATGTGTGGGAATAAGATGAAGTCATTGGGTGCCAAATCAGGGCTGTACGGTGAATGACCCATCAGTTCGATCTTTCGCTCTGTCAGAAATGTCTTTGTTTGAATCGATGTGTGAGAGCTCGCATTGTCATGATGAAGAATGATTCGCCTGTTCTTCTGCTTTTTTCGAATTTCTCCGATGACTTCTGGCAAACAAATGGTCGTGTACCATTCAGAATTGACCGTCCTGCGTTGCTCTAACGCCACTGTTGCAGACCTGCCAACTCTCCTGCTTTTAGCAGGAGTCTCCTGCTTATGTCTCAAATCTTCGCCCTCAGGCCTTCAGGGTGTTTTCTCCTTCTTTTTTCTATTTAGTGCAAGATAGAGGAAAAAAAAACAACAATTTGTGCAATTTCCTTCCCAACTTGTGCTTCAGATCATGCTGGGCATTTATTTAGAAAAACTTTGCCCCGTAACATCACTAAAAATTATGGTGTGTGAACCAAAACAGCAGTAATAACCAATGAAATGGCAGAATCGGAGATATCTTGGACACCATTAGGCAAAATGTTTTTTTACTTTCTATAGATGCCAGTTTTTTTTTTTTTAAAATAATGCTAAATCAGCAACATCTGCAGTTTTAAAACAGTAGCAGTTAAAAAAAAAATTAAGAAATGCATTTATAAAGTATTGTATTCATTATTGACATATTTTGTTAGTTTTGAACTTCTTCCTAAATTTGAAAAAATCAAAAGATATGTTTTAATATAATTCTATAGAACCTTATATTTTATAGTAAGAACACGCATCTTTATTAGTCAGTGTCAGAATCTTATTGTGGTCTATTTTATGTAATGTAAATAATATATTTTGAAATAAACTACTTGTAGGAAGTGTGAATCAGGTTTAATTTTCAATATTGCGCTATATCGTGATACAGAAAGAGTCTCCTGCTTTTTTATTTTCTAAGGTTGGCAGGTCTGCTGTTGCCACATGACCATTAATGCCGAAGAAACAGGCAATCATTTGTTTTGATGTGCTTCTTCCTCGAACAACTTTTGTTGGTTTTGCCTCGTCTTGGAAGACCCATGCAGTTGATTGCTGTTTTGTTTCCGGCTCATATGCATAGATCCATGATTCGTCACCTGTGTAGATGTTATACACAGCCTTTGATGTACCTTGAATGTATTTTTCCAACATTTCCTTGCACCATTCGACACGAGCCTTTTTTTGAGCGTTTGTCAGATTATGCGGGATCCAACGCGAACAAAATTTTTTTAAAATGTTCATGCAATATTTTATTGATGCTAGTCATACTAATGTCCAAAGACGCCTCTATCTCACGGTATGTCACATAACGATCTTGCTTTATCAATTCACGCACAGCATCGATCTTTTCTGGCACAACAACGGATTTTGGACGACCTGCACGGGATTCGTCCTGGATTGAACATCGACCACGATTAAATTCGTTATACCAATTTTTTACAGTGCTGTAGGATGGCGCTTTATCGCTGAATAAAGAATTAAGTTCATCGAAGCACTCTTGTCATGACGATCCACGTCGAAAGTTATGAAAAATAATGGCACGAAAATGTTTACGATTCAACCATTTTTTGAAAGAGAAGAACTTTTCAATTTACTGTCAACAACACAAATAAAGCTATAATGGTAAACTGTCTGCTGAATTTATGTTTAAAAATACCAAACTTTCGATTAAAATCGTCTGCGGTCGCCTAGCAACACTTACTGTTGCCAAGGCCAGAAATATAAATAGCAACCCTCGTAGTAAAAAAAAAATAATAGTCGTAAAAAATTTTTTTTTTTGCACTTTGTAAAATAAATAATCATAAATAATTTTTTTTTTGTTTTTTGAATTTTTTTACTTTTAAAAATTTTATCAGTTAACAGAAGAAACAATAACAGTAATTTTTGAAAATGAATTTTCTTATACATCTGCAGATTATTTTTTTCAGGTTCATTAAATTAGCAATTTTTTTCACTATTAAGGAGTTATTATCTATGCACTTAAACATTAGATACACAAAATTAGCAATTTTTATCACCAATTAAGGGGTTATTCCTACATTAAATTGGCAATTTTTCTTCACTATTAAGAAGTTATTATACACAGTATACTCTCTATCTCAAAAACCTTTTTTTGTCAAAAAAATATTTCCCCCCATGGCATTATATATCTACCTATTGTTAATTTGAATTCTAATATCCAAGAGTTTCGTCTCGAAACCTTGTTACGTCGAATTATTTTTCGAAATAGAAATAGAATTTTTTTTTGGAAAAATCAAGTATTGTCAAGTAAGTATTGTAAATGAATTCTTTTCTATTTAATGCATAACTATTTTTGTCTTATTTTTAAAAAGAAAATTATCATTGTTGTATTTAAATTTATAGTCCACTATCATTACATATTTAATAGTAGTAATTCTTATGTTTCATGATTCTACTTTTTAGAGTATTTAGAATATATTTTTTAATTTTTTAGGACATATTCAGTCCTGAACTTGTCTCAAAAACTCAATATCTCAAAACTTTTTTAGTGTCCATTCAACTTTGAGATATAGAGAGTATACTGCATTAAAATGTTGAATCTTTGGGATTGGATATTTCAAATTCATGTTTTTCCCTATTACTATAGCAGCAAATAAATTGCTAAGTTAACCAGAATTTTTTTTTTTTTTAGGAATTTTCAGAAAGCCCTTTAAAATATTCAAAAAATTTAAACAATCAACATAAATTTTTTTTTTTATTGTTTTAAATAAATTTGGTGCTGGCATAACTGTATTCTTCTAGAAAATGATCAGTAGGTTATTAAAAATCCTCATTATAAATAAATATTGGACGCTTGTTGATTGTATTTTTATTTAATTTTTTTTACTTGTACTTTTTACTCTAAAGTACAAGTGTGTTTAGTAAAAGCACTAAAGTACTTTTGTTTAAAGTACAGAAAGCCTTTTAAAATATTCAAAAAAATTTAAACAACATAAATTAAAACTTTTTTTTATTGTTTTGCATAAATTTGGTGCTAGCATAAATGTACAATGTATTATTTTAGGAAGTGATCTGTAGGATATTAAAAATCCTCATTGTAAATAAGCATTGGATGCCAGGGCTCGGAAAAAATCCTGATTTCCGGGTTTTTCGCTAACCGTGATCCGAAAGTTTCCGGAGATTGAAGGTTCATAAGTTTCAAAAAATCATTGACCACAAAAGTTTCCGGAAATCAAATTTTCAAAGGTGAAGCTTAAAAACACAGTTTATTTTATTTGTTTTTAAGAGAACCAGATATTTTATAAGCTTATATCAAAATTAATCTTCATTTTTTATCAGTAAATAGTTATAATCATAAACTCAAGAAAGAAAGACGTATTTGTAAATTTCAATTACTTCTCCAGGTCTTTCATAGTTATGTAAAATTTTTTAAATATATTCTAAGTAAACTAAAAAATATTGAGAAAAAGGAAAAAACCTTGTTTAAACTTTTTTCTAATTATTTGATTTAAACTTTTTTTTTTTACTCAAGAAATTTTCCGGAATTTTGACTTGGGCTCACAATCACCCCTGTTGGACGCTTATTCATTCTAATTTTATTTAATTGTTTTACATTATTGTTTTTTTTGAACTAAAGTGCAAATTATATTATTTTAGGCAATGATACGAGGAGATTTAGAAATTTTGAAGGATTGGTGCTATGAAGGAGTAAGTAAGCTTATATTAAAGTGTTTATTTATGTCTATTATTCTGTTTATATTCTGTCATAAGAGAATGTTTCTCTTTAATAGCCATTTAATGTGTTAGCAACACCTATCAAAACAGCTCAAAGCTTAGGATACCATTTTGATTCCAAAGTTCTTGATGTAATGAATGTGGATGTGAGTATAAGTCATATATTTCTTAATTCTGAGACAATAATATTTATTTGGCATTTAATTATTATCTTTTTTAATTATTATCATATATTTCTTAATTCTGAGACAAGTAAAATTTATTTAATATGAAATAATTTATTTTTAGATGATTATTTTTATTGAAAATTTTCAGCTTCTTTATAAAGTTTTTTTTTATGTTTTGAAAAAATAAATGGGTAATCTAATGTTCAAAGAATTAAGTGTTTTTAAAATTGCCTTAAAAATATTTACGAAGTTCAAAAGCAGATCGATCATATCGGCCTAGTTTAGAAGCAAAGATCATGCAAGAGGATTTAACTCAGTGCGAAAAAAATGCTGTCATTTGCAATCGCTTGTTACTGTCCTTGGTGTCGTTTTACTTTGTTCCATTACTTATCTAACTGTTTTTGGATAAGAAATTAATAAGTAAATAAACATAATTTAACTATTTAAGTCTTTTAAAATAATGTTCACACATATGCTGTCTTGTAAATCAGGGGTCTGTCTAGGTTTTTCTGAGAGTTACCTATTTTGTGAAAATTAAGACATAATTTATGAAAATTAAGAAATTGAAAAATCGACACATTAATTCAATTTACGCATGTTAACACATTAAATCAACACAATAATTATTGAAAAATCAACACAAAAATATGGATTTATCGTTTCTAGATTCAAAAGTAAAATTTTAAGAAAAAGTAGTATGTGAAACTACCATTTTTTCTACAGTTGAATTTGTGAGGGTACCGCTAAACGGTAGTAAATTTGGCCTGGATAGACCCCTGTAAATGATTGTCTAAAATGATGATTTGATTTATTTTTTGCCAATGATGAATCAGTAAAAGGTCTGAGATGACAGTTGCTCCTACTAATTCATTACCCTTCAGAACTGCTAGCTTCTTACCCATGCACATTTGAGTTGTCATGTCATGGTAAATACTTGCTAGCAGACACATTAATTCACAATAAAATTTAGTTTTAAATAAAAATATTTTAGAATTGAACTTATATTTGTGAGAACACATCTTCTTAAAAATTCTGATAGGGAAATGTTATTGGTAGGTTGTTATCAGTGACAAAAGTGGTTATCTGAGGCTCAGAAATTCTTACTTGATTCGTTTTACTTTTGCTTTTAAAAAAAAAATGAAATCTTATTTGCTAATTTTTTTAAACTTAAGTTGTTAATTATCGGAATTGATTTTTCTGATGGGCTGTTCATATAATAATTGTTTAAAAAATATTTTTGACCCCTCCTTCCCTTTTTCGCACTTCACTATATCCTTCCCATTTTTTGCTTTACTATATTTCATAAACATATCTTAGTAGACCAGAAACGAGACACTTATATTTCATTCTTCAAATTTTATTTTTGTGCATTATAATGACATTGGTGAGTAAGCATAAAAATAATGACTTAATTTGATGATTATGTTTAATTATTTTGATAAACAAAGGTAAAAATAATAAAAATATGTAATGTCCCTCCCTTGTCCCAAACTGTCTCAATTTTGAGGAAACCCCTCTTTCCTTTCTAAGAGTGAGTTTATATGTGTACAACCGCTACATTTACTGCAAAATAATATCAGCCCTCATTGGACCAATATTTATTTATCTTGAAAAAGCCGATATTTTTCCGACATAGGCCTCATATAGAATTCTTAAATTACCTATTTTATATCCATTATTCAGCCAATATTAGCCCTATATAGAATTGTCCTTTTCAATCAATATCGGCTGTTTACAAAATTGTTATTGCCCAATATTAACAGCCATTCTAAGACTAATCTTAAAATAATCTCTAATTCCTTGCTTTAAGTGTTATAATTTTCTAATTTTACCATAGCATTGCAAGTCACTTCGGACTTATGGTGATTTAAGACCCCTTAAACACAACTCAGGCCACCATGAAATAATAATTGGTCGTTAACCTGATCAGTTATTGTCAATAAAGTGTAAAGGAATGGATTACTGATTCATATTTTTGTGATTCATATTATGCATCAGTAAATTAAATCTTGACTTCCAGGCTTCTAATGTATTGCCAGCTTTTCTGCAGAAAGGTAAAGGTAATAATGTTGTAAAAAAAAAAAAAAGACTTTCAAATGATTGTAATAAGATTTAGAGTGACATGTAAACAGACTAGTAAAAGTGGATATACACTAATGACACTTTTAAATTAATAGTTCTCAGGTCAACAACTAATTTCTCTTGGTTTTTATGCCTACACTTGATAACTGAAAATTTTGTTCTGAATAATTCAAGCCTTTGTAAGAAGTTATTGATTATTTGAAGAAATTACTGTTACTCTTTGTAAGTTTATTAACAATGTGTTGAAAAACCCTAGCCCGTTCCTTTGATCATGTAACTGTGTGAAGTAAAAATATTCATTCAAATCAATATTTCAAATATTTATATTCAAATGTTTATATTCAATTATTTATATCCAAATACTTATAGTCAAATATTTATATTCAAATTATTTATATTCAATTATTTATATCCAAATATTTATATTCAAATATTTATATTCAAATATTGTTATAATGAAATATTGTTATAATCATTGTTTCAAAGTAAATCCATAAACACCTCTCAAGTCCATAATTTGTTTGCCTGGTCGATTCTTCCTGATAATTTGTTTGTTAGTTTTTATGAGGTAGTATTATTACTCAAGGGTCAGGTTGTCCTCTTTGTCAGTTGTCTCCCCTCTGACTTACCTGGCTTGGTTGACCCAGGTAGTAGCTAAATGAATACCATTGTTTTTGGGATCTAATATACATCTAGCCTAACATAATGTTTTCAAATATAAAAGAATTGATGGTGGAGCTAGAAGATGCCAAAAACTTTGATTGCTGGCCTTCATTAATGTGAATTTCAAACTGATCATTGTATTGAAGTGGCGACAGAAAGAACTTCAGGGAGAAATGTTCTAAAGAATTCACCCTGAGCTGTTGTGTCAATGATGATGAGGCACAACAGTATAATTATGAATTAAACTTACAAATCACATAACTATGACTACATAAACATAAATAAAATGCACAAATTTGAAATATTTAAAAATTAAATAATTTAATGAAGTAATAATAATTGTTTAGTGTCTACTAAATGATTCTCTTAAATATTAATTTTATTTATTTTTGCCGATGATGAATCAGTAAAAGGTCTGAGATGACAGTTGTCCTACTAATTCCTTACCCTTCAGAGCTGCTAGCTTCTAACCCATGCACATTTGAGTTGTCATGTCATGGTAAATACTTGCTAGCAGACATACTAATTCACAATAAATTTAGTTTTAAATGAAATGAATTAGAATTGAATTTATATTTGTGATAACATATCTACTTCAAAATTCTGATAGGGAAATGTTATTGGTAGGTTGTTATCGGTGACAAAAGTGGTTATCTGAGGCTTTCAAACTTTTCACCTGTTTTGTTTTAATTTAAATTTTTTAAACTTATTTGCTCACCTTCAAGGTGTTAATTTGTGCTACTGATACTAGCTTGATCACCTGAAATTTAAAAAAGCATGTATGTTATTATTACATTATGTATATTTTTTATTTATTTCTTACTAATATTGTATATTTTATGCTTTATTTTCTCAAAAAATATTATTTCATGTTGAAGATAGATAATTTTTCATTGTTTTAAATTTTTTAATTATACTAATGCATTAAGAAGTCTAATGATTAAATTCATTATATAATTCAACCCTGTTAACCATTGTTGTGTTAAATACAATTCAATACAAGTATTTGCAATCATTAATCATTGCATATTACACTTGTAATCATATTTATAAAAATTTTTTATGTTTGTAAACATACAAGTAATCATTATTAATAATTAAAAGGAATAATCTTTTTTTATAAATATCTAATCTTGATTACATAAAATCATTACGGTTTGTTATCTTGATTACCCATCAGTTTTATTCTGCTCAATTTTTGTATGAAAGTAATAATTGTGATCCTTAGTATGCTACATTTTATGCAAGAGCTAAAAAGTAGCTTATTTTAATTAAATTAATTTTTATAACAATTATTTTGTGTAAGTAGAAGCAATAAAATGTAATTTTTCTAAAATACAAAGCAATTTAAATTTTTTTACATGCTTTTACATATTTACCATTAAAACAAAATCTGAGAAAAAGCAATGCATAAATATAAAAAGGGACAGAAAATTGTTATATCCTACTTAAGATTTTTTTTTTTTTTGTATTTACTATTAGAATTGATTTGTAAAAAAGAAGGATTTTATCTTCAGTTTGTGTAAATATAGAATAGTCTGTAAGAATCTTAATTTAAAAAAAAAAATTATTATTATTATTTTTTTTTGAAATTTGAAATTTGTAATATATATTTATGTTTGTTTATCTATTTAAAAGCTGATAAAATGTTCAAATACATGTTTTATATTATTTAATAATAATTTAGTTAAAATATTTGTTATATTTCTTACTAAAAGAGTTGATATTGTTATTCAGTTATTATTAATTAATTTCTGAATGAATGAAATGATTTTTTTTCCTTGGTCAACGTCTTTATGAAGTGTTGCGCAATTCGTCAGTTAGATGTCTAATAAAGAGTAAATTAGTTTAGATCAAATGTTAAGGTTCTAGGCAGAATAAGTCTTTTATTTTTTTAATTTTGATTCATTAACTATATATTCAATAAGTTTTAAATGCATGTGTATTCCAATAAACTTGAAATTAAGTGGATGGACCCTGGAAAACAGTGCCTTATGTTTGAACTACAAAGTTTCGAATGCTGTCAATTTTCGTAAGATAGTAGTTAGGTTTTAAATGACTTAATATATTAGAATTTTATATGTGTAACTTTTTACTCAATTGATGTAGAAAAGGTTTAAAAAGTAATCGTTTTTTACAAATTGATGTAACCCTCTCATACAAGTATGTCAATTATTTACTTAAATCTACATTTAAATATCAATAAATTAGACTTCTTTAAAATCCTTATAAACTATTCATAAATTCAATTAAAAAAACTATCTTTAAAAATATATATAAATTTATTTTTGAATCTCAATGTTTAATTTGTGTATAAGTCAATTTGATTCAGTAGTAAGAATAGTTGTTTGTAATTTATTTTGTTTAACACTTTATAAGGTCAGAGGAGATATACTTCTAACCGATTTAATTAATTTTTAAATGTTCATGGAGAGCTATTTTCCCACTATGATTTGTTATGCGTCCATCTGCTGATAACCTCAGAAAATAAGATAATAATAAAAAGGAAATGAAGGACTGAGTTTACATAAATGTCAGTTACAGTAAAAGCAAGTGTGGGATCAAGAAAAGAGGCCAATACTGAGAAACTATTTTTTTCTTTCGCGTTTGTTCATTCGAATATTTCTCATGTAGTCTATTTGTAGTTTAAACACAGAATTTATAAAATGTTTTTTTTATTTTTAGGCACAGAAGTTTAAATTTATGACCAATTCTTTACATTAGAGGGAATTATGTAACCCACAATCAAATTAAAAACCCACTGACCTTACCATCAAAGAAATGGTCTTAAAACTCAAATTAATTTTAGTTAATAAGCTGAATGAATTTCTTTTCATAGCTCAATCTTTAAAAAAAATATTTTAACATAACATTACTAAACAAAAATGAACTTATAAAGGGTTAAAGACTATTTTACTGCTATTCATTACAGCGTTCACAGTGTTTGATGTTAATATGTTTTATTTTTATTTTGCGTTTTTCAGCTGGCTATGGGGAAAATGATGGAGCAAGGTCCGGTTTTAGTTTTGACTTTTAACTCACAACAGATTTTAGTTGTTCGTGATGCCAAAGCAAATGTTGTGGAAGGTGACCCTGTAAGTAAATTAATCACCCACTTTCTTTTTTATTAAAAATTAGACGCCTTTAATTTTATTCGTTAATTTCATCTAGAAAAATATTTTTGATGTGTTTTTATCATTTTATTATGTAATTGCAACAAACTGAAATGTTTGAGAGGACATTATAATGTGGCAGAAGAAAAATTCTGTTTCACCTTCATCAATATTTCAATGTTTGGATAAAAAAGTGTTCAGTTAAGCTTAGAGTAAACTGTAAAGTTTCAAATCTGAAAAATGTTTTCAGAATATCAAAATGCGAACGAATTATTGGGAGATTACTTTCCCGTTGTGTAACCCTAAGTAATCCTTTTGTATTTTGATATTTTTAAAACTTGTCTTTTCATATTTTGCTGAAGTAAATTTTCAAAATGCTAAAACTTAAAATTTTTTACTGATTGTCTTTCTTTTTCTTTTTTTATTCAGAATAAAGTTTTAAAAATGCATTATTATTTAATTTATTATATTTTATGACTTGTTTTTTCTTTAATTTTCAGAATAAAGTTTTGAGAATGCATTATGTTTGGGCCCTTTGTAGAGATCAAACTGAGCTAGATCCCAAAGCTGCGTGGAAGTTGCTCGATTTATCAGCCAGCAGTACAGAGCAGTGGTTATGAGTATAGCTATTTTAGAAATGTATATAAAATGTAAGATTTTAATGTATTTTTTAAACTGACTATTTATTTAACTGCTTGCTTATTAAAAGCCAGCTTTTTTTCTAATTTTGGTTATAATCTGATCAACAGAATACATTTTTTTTTTAGACTGCATTAACAAGAACTGTAGTTAAAGTTTTTTTTTTTACTATTTCCTTTTCCTAAGTAATAGTGCTGATAAATAATCAAGTAAGCTTTAAATTGAATTTCTGTAATGCTTCTATTCTCTGCTGTATTTATTTATTTATTAAGATTAATTTGTAAAATTATTAAGATCAATTTGTTATTTATTTAATAAGAACTTTTTATTCTAAAATATTTTTCTTTTCATTTTTTGTTAGTGTGGAAATTTTAATCCATTTCCCTTTCAAAATAAATTTAATATCTTCAACTGTTCCAAATTATGAATTAAAGAATGTAATAATAAACATATAAAAATTAGCTTTCTTATTTTATGTCATATTTTGATTTTTTTTTTTTCAATGAGGACTTAACCATTCTGCTAAAACTTTTTTAAAGGCAAGAAAACAAGTCAAATGTAATTTAAAATCTATTAATCAGGTCATTTTGGATTTCTCAAAGCATTTTACAATGGGTTATTTACTTATTTATTTTTATAAATGAGCAAAGTAGTGAATAAAATAAGGAATAAATTGTTAATAAAGTTGCAATTTTGCCAATTTTAATTGAGTTTCTTAAGCTTCGTTCAGAGCTTCCGAGTGGGTACTCTTCTCCTTTCAAAATCTGATTTTTAGCATGTAGCACATTTTAATCCTCTTTTTTAATGTTTTGGTCCTTTAAGTCCTCTTTTGAATAATTTCAAAATCTGTTTATGGAATTTTTTTGAATATGTTAAAATTTTGATACAGTTTAACTTTGTGTGTCAAACTCTCTACCCATTGTTCATACTGCCAGAAAGCCTATGACATTAGTCTTTTTTTTATTGTATTTATAGATCACTGGCCACAATTTTTGAAACTTGAGATTGTTCACTTTTAAGTTTTTTCATGTGAGTTTAGGAAGGTCAACAACTGCAAAGTTTTATCACTTCAAAATTCTATTGTTCCTTTTATTCATTTGATTTAAGAACGATAAGATCAGCCATGTCACTTTTTTGTAGAACTGCAAAATATAAATTTTTATTTTTGCCGTCTACGAAGTGTAAAGTGGTTGAAATATCTTACTTGTTGTATCTTATTGCATATTATCTTATTGCATATTATCTTATTGAAGTAACTTTCTATCCGATTAGTTGTTCTTGAAATTTAAAGTATGATATAAAATCAAGATGTAGAATTTAAAAAAAAAAAAAAAGACTTAATTGGCTAAAATTTTCGAACATGAAATTTTATAAGATTTAATAGTCAATATTAATATCAATAAATTTTTATAAGATTTAATTTTAGAGTCATATACTCATTTACTACTTCTAGAAGATGGAAAAAATATTTTTTAATCCTTAAAAAATCTTAGTTGTTTCAAAAATCTCTTTAAATTATTTAAAATTAATTTAAGCCAATTAACAACTCAATATGCTGAAAAATTAAGGAGCGCTCACTATTTTTTTTCCACAAAAATAGTTAATTGCATTTGAAAACAAAAAATTTCTTCAATTGAAAATGTTGTGCTCTGAATAAAAATATGAAACAAATTATAATTTTAAACAGAATATTAAACCTTCAGATCGGAAATTATCAGGCTTGAGAGTTCTGTAAGTATTGATTATTCTAAACTTATTAAAAGTGTCATATAACACTAAAGTGAAATTATTGCATATATTTGTAGAAATATTTTTTAGTAAAATTTCTATTTTATTTACATTTATATTTATTAAATTGATATTTTATTTATTCTTTTTAATACAGTACAGAACCCGTTATCCGGAAATCAGAAAACCGGAAAACCAAAAAACCGGAACGAAATTCGATAAATTTTCCCGCCATTTTCGAAAAAAAATTTTTTTTTCCTCATAGGATCTTGGGATTTTTCTTTCTATTTTACTTCATCGTTTTTTCTTCTTTTTAAGATTATTTTCAAATTTTTTTTTTTTTAGTTGGGTTTAACAGTAAAAAAAACGGCTTTTTGTAGCGATTCAGAAAACCGGAAAAATCAGTTATCCGGAATAGCGATGNTATATTTGTAGAAATATTTTTTAGTAAAATTTCCATTTTATTTACATTTATATTTATTAAATTGATATTTTATTTATTCTTTTTAATAGTAATTTTTATTAGTGTTAAAATTTTAATTTGAAAAAAACATAAGACGTTTTATATTACCAGTTTTTGTCTTTCAAAACTACATAGGCATACCTATAAGATTTATTTTTAATTCTAAAGTGATAAATAATTGAAATTTTTTTTCATTAATTACATTATCATTTTATTTAAAGGAATGGGAAATTTACAATTCAAAATTATCAGATTTGTCAAAGTGATGAATTAAGAAACCATATCTAATATACTTTTGAAAACTGTAATGTTTTTCAAAATTTTGTTAAAACTTTTTTTTTTTTTTGGATGATGGAAATATTGAAATTATTTCCATGGAATCATATTATTAAAGATTGACTCTTATTTTCAAATTTGAGGGACATTTTCTAATCATTTTTACAATTTTGATGCTTTATGAAAAATTTAAAGGAGGTTATTAAATTCACTCATGATTTAATAAAGTTTTTCATATTTGTAAATTTAATTTTGTTAAGAAAACTCCAAAGCAGTTATAAAGACCTGCATATTTATAAATTACAAAGTTTAGAATCTTATTGAAAAATCCTGTACTTAAATAAGTTCTGCTGATTTTTTTTCTTAAATTTTTTATAAAGGAGACTAATTAAATAATTTATCATAATTCTTGAATATAACTATAAATAGTTTTTCTTAGCCTTCTTTTTCGCTACAAATGGTCCTCTTTTTCGCTTTTCTTTGGCTAAATTAAGTTGGAAGCACTTTTTGTTGTTTTGAGTTTGTACGAAAATTAAACACATGGTTAAAGAGATTTGTATTACAATTTTGAGAAGTGAGTAACACAATTATAAAGGAAAATTCGTTTAACAGGAATTGAAATAACAGGGTTCCTACACAGTCAGGAAAACCTGCAAAAGTCAGGCTATTCTTAAATTAAGCTAAAAAGTCAGGATTTTTCTTACATATTCATAAAGTCAGGAATTTTCGTACATATGTTTTCTTTTTCTTTNACATATTCATAAAGTTAGGAAAATAAAAAAAACTATAGTTCATTCAAAGACTGACAGGCAAAAATAAAGTTTCAAGGAAAAATTCTGTAATTCAAAATATGTAATTTCCTCATAATAACATTCCTCTTTCCCTGGTAGAACCTGTCCTGTTAGCAATTTTCCTCTTGTTTATTCAATGATAAGGATTTTTTGATAGGGTTGCTAGGTTTATTGCTCTTTGTGTGAATAACTGGTTTACAGACAATAGTAGCAGAAAAATCAAAAAAGGAATTTTTACTGTTTTGTGATGCTGCCAAAAAAAAAACGAAGAACAAAAGAGTTACTTAGAGTTTAATCCACAGCAAATGAGATTAGATAATTTTTTCGAAATATTTGCACAGAGAAAAAAAATTTGAACATTTATGGGAGGTTATAAAAATTGTTCTTATCCTGTCTCATGGTACTGCAACAGTTGAAGGGGGGTTTTCAATCAATAATAGCTTATTGGTTCAAAACCTCAATGAAGACTCTATTATTTCACAAAGGCGTGTGTATGATTATGTTTCATTTATAAATGGAATAAAAAACATAGACATTAATGAAAAAATGCTAGATGCTGTAAAAGGATCTAGAACAAGATGGAGACATGCATTAGAAGCCAAAAAAAAAAAAAAACGAAGAGAATAAAAAAGCTGAAATTTCTAGAAAACGAATAAAAGAAAAGATAGAGGATTTGAAATTAAGAAAATCTAAATTGACGAAAACTGCTGCAACAGAACTGGATGTTCTTGATTCAGAAATTGTCAAACAACAAAATATGTTGAGAAATATTATATAACATAGGAGCCCCTGAGTTTCTCCGGAAGCTTACAGTATTACAGAAATAAATTTAAAAATACTGAAAAAAAAAAGATATTTATGATTTTATTTTTCTCACAAGTTGCATAATTTTTCTATATGAATTTTTATTTGTATATAATTAACTTTTCTTGACTTTTTTCCCCTTTATATTTCAATATTATCTTTTAAAAGAAAAGTCAGTTTTAAGTGAAATTGTGATTTTTAAAAATTAATATTTTAATGTAACAAATGTTCTAGTATGTTTTAAGAGTAAATATTATTTGAGGATACTCATACATATCACGCAGATTTGATTAACCCTTTATGTCCTGACGACACTCATGCATTTGGTTCCACTTAACATTAAATAAAATAATATTTCCATAATCCAACAGATTTTCTTGATCTTTTTATTTAAATAGTTTTCGTATCTAACTACAGAAACACAGTGAAAGTTTAATCTAATCATGATAATTAAAAATATGTTTCACAAGTTTTCTGAAAATATAATTTGGGATATAAAGTGCTATTACGCAATTCCACTTTATATAAGTGTTTATCCTATTCAATCTATGATACTTATAACTAAGTAGCATATTATTACTAATTGAAACTGCAATGTTAAAAGTTTTGTTGGACTGGGAAATGGCGGGTCAGGAATTTTATTGTAAAAGGTCAGGAAAAACCTGTCAGGATATTGTTTTCTCAAAATAGTGTAGGAACCCTGAATAAATGCCTGATGTTTTTATGTAATTTTTTGTTGTTTAGTAGCAAAGCTCCAAATACAAGAATTTCTGCATTACTATTGATACATCATTAATACAGTTGTTTCTCAATATTATGTTAACTATTGCATATGTATTATTAACTGTTTGAATTTTTCTTTTCAGGAAGCAAATTAACCTCTTGGAAGATTGTACAAAAGAACATAGAATATGTCAATATTTTGTTGTATATACTGTAAAATGAGCATTTCATCTGAGACTATTAACGCTCTTGGCAGCAAGCCCATTTCTTTGCGACAGGTTCAACCAGAAACACCTTTGCTCTTTTATGAAGGCTCTGCCAAAGAGTTGAAATAAATCATAGCAACATAAAAATTTTAGAAAACTTTTTTTTATGTGATGCTTTTTTTGTGCTGTGGTTCAGTTTTTTTGTTATATCGTTTTTTGATTATGGGTTGGATTCCAGCATTTCGACTAAATTAGCCGATATTTTTGTGTTGAATTCTGGTGGTTGACTAAACGATCAATGCTTTTGCTGTAGAGAAAATTGTATAATGAATCTGCTGTGGCTAAAAGTCCCTTTGGTGTGGTATAAAAATTAAGATAAATGGTTCTAACTCTAGCTTTATCCATTTCGTCTGACGCAAGTCAAAATTGTCACTTCAGCTTAATTTTATCATTAATTAATTTTTATTAAAATTAATTTTATTAATATTAATTATATTATGTTAATTATATTTAAGTAATTACTGAATTTTATCTGCATACCCGCTAACAAGTTAAATCCTGAAAAGACAGGTCGGATGGTGTATCATAGGGCTGCAGGAAACTTGGATTTTTTATTTATTTATTTTTTAAAATCATATCTAGATGTTTTGTCACGTTTTATTTATTTATCTTTTTAAGGAATGAAGCAGGGGGCATTACTTTATTAAAAAGAGAAAAAAACAGCTTAAAGTTAATGTAACAGATTATATTTTTATTAATTACCGTAACATGCAAGATGGTGTTGTAGATTTTGAACTCAAAACTTAAATGATTTTTTTTCAAAGAAATAATTGAATTTTTGTGAAATATTATCTCAAACAAACCTGACTATAAACTGTTTTGAAAGATTGTAAGGTTGAAATAAGACAAACTCTTTAAAAGCTGAACAATTGACATTTATTGGCTCACAAAAATTCAGTCTTATCTTCTTCAAACAATTTCTAGTTTAGGGGCCATTCAAAAAGTACGTACATCCCAAAGGGAGGGGATTTGATATTTTGTACGATGGGGAGGAGGGGAGGTATTATACAAAGTACGTACATTATAAGCATACACCAAATTTAAATTTGACTTTTTCCTACACATGTATTATACATATGTTTGTTCTTGTATTTTTTTCACACGGCGACCACTTCTTAGAATGAGCAAATCAGTTCTCAAAAAAAATTGTCTCGCAAAATAAAAAATTGCAAACATCAAAAATTTGGAATGTCCTTGGGAAAATACTGTAGATTAATTGTATTGATTGTAGGAAATTATTATGTTGATCCGATAAGATTGTTTTATTNTAATTGTATTGATTGTAGGAAATTATTATGTTGATCAGATAAGATTGTTTTATTTATTGATTCCAAGATAAAGTTGGGTGTTATTGTTTAAATAATTTAAATGAATAAATTATTTTAAATAAATATTTAATTTTATTTAAAACATAATTATTTTAATTTTTTGAAAAAGGGGGGTAGACTAACAAAATGTACATACTCTAAGGGAGGGGGTTAAAATTTCTCCATTTTTGTGTACGTATTTTTTGAACAGCACCTTAGACATCAAAAATAATTTGATAGAATTTTCCAGAGAATTTCTTGAACACAACAGTACCTCTAAAACTAGATTTATCCATATTCTTTTCATTCAAAAAGGTCATGTGTGAAAGTCCATGAGAGGAGACCTAAACTTTATAACCTGAATTTTACCATTCTCCGGTTAAGGCGGCAGATCTACTATTCTTTCTCCATTAAAACAAATGGGCCTTCATCCTAGTCCAAAACATGGAGATAGAATAAAACGCAGCACCTGTTGGGATAAGACCATGAATTAAGTTGTTGGCAAAGTCCTCTGTTGAGGATTAAAAACAGTTATAGATAAAAGATTGTCCAAGCATTATCTAAACTAACAGTCTAAATTTAAAGAAGAGCTGTTCACAAATTCGTCATCTCTGAATGGCTACTCAAACCCACTATCATAAACTTTTATGCCTGACAAATTTGAATTTAAATTATACAAATGAAATTTTAATTAGCAGAACTATGAGATGATTTGAAAAACATATTAACAAAAAAGACTGATTGGCTGTTGAAATACGTCTCAATACATTTGAAAATGAAATTTTTTGTCCTTTGAAAATCATTATAAATATGAACTAAGCTTTCTTCCTATGGATGAAGAACCCTATAAAGGTAAGCAAAGAGGCACTTGTAGTTAAAATTTGTAATAAGATTTACAGATTTATCTGCAACAATCCATATTGTATTGTTATTGTAGTTGTAATGTTTACAATGTCACTTGTGTTGTTTGCTTGCCATTTAATTTGTAAACCCATTTAACTTTAGCTGAAGGTTAAAATATTATTACTTTAGCGAAAGCAGCTCTCAAGATGGGCCTGAGAATAAACGAGAACAAAACTAAATATTTGCCCTGTACTGCAACTAGCATTAATAACACCCATTTAGAAACTGAAGAATATAAATTTGAGATCGTTGACAATTTTGTTTGCTTGGGTTCTGTAATCAACAACAGGAACAATATTTCAATGTAAGTATAAAGGAGAATTACTATAACCAGTAGATGTTTTAATGGAATTCGAAAATACATAAACTCTAATGTAATTCATAGAAAAACAGAAGTTTTATTATATAAATCTCTTGTGAACCTGGAAATGAATCCTGGATGAGGTTTTGTTGGATATCTTTGGGAGAAAGGTCTTGAGAAGTATTTTTGGAGGAATTAAAAAGAAATAGTGTGTGACTTAGAAGAACAAATTTAGAGCTTATCACTCATATAATGAACATGACATTATTAGCTTTATTAATCGACAAAGAATAAAATGGACAGGCCACGTTATCAGAATCGGCGAAGACCATCCCACAAAAAAGAGTTTTCAATGCTAGACCAGTTGGCACACGAAAAAGAGGCAGGCCAAATTTGAGATAGATAGCCTAGAAAAAGACCTTTTGGTCTTAAAAACTGCGCTAGCTTGAAAAAACTTCTTGGGAAGGCCAAGGCCTTTACAAGGCTTCGGAAGCCATTGATGATGAGGGTTTAACTATTTTGTTCATTTTTTTATGTGCAACACTGCCCTTAAAACATGACTACCCTTACATTTTATTTATGTCTGCGGAAACTAGTAGAGATGTGCAGCGGAGTAATCAGCCTATAACGCCACCTTTATAAATGATGCGATGGATATTGAATGAAGAAAGTGATTCTACACGAAGTTCTGGATGCTGAAAAAAGCTGGCCCGTAGTAATCCGACATGATTTCTGAAGAAAGAAGAAATTAAGGCAGTAGAGTTCTGATGATCTCCACTACCTCAGGATCACTGAACAGTTCCTTAAGGTCTTTCAAAGTCCTTGCAAGTCTAAAGACCATGTCCTTGGGTGAGTGAAACTTTTTCCTCTGATGCACATCCAGTGAAATTGGCGGGAAGCGATTGGCCGCAGTTACAACAGAGGGCAGGCTCTCCTTGGTGCAGGTGTAGGAGGGGTGGGGGACGTTGCAGTTACCCTGGACATGACCGAACCACTGACACTGGATTTGTCGGCAGTGACTTGCTCTCCCTCGATGGTGGCGAGGTCGTAGATTCTCCTGTTTACATCATTATTTTCCAAGATGGCTAGGAAAATAGGCATGTCCACATATGTTGGTGATTCGTGGATCTTGCTGGTCCTTCGTTTGAACGGGATTATCTTTCTACAATTGAAACCTTTCCCTGACAAAATTTTCCCCAAAACTTCAGGTAGAAAGTCGGCTTTTAGCCCTTTGAAAATTGCTTACTTTATTTATGTTGTGATATCAATTTCCTAAAATCAGTTCATGATTTGTGTTTTCCTTTTGTGGTCGAAATCTGTTCAAATAAATTTTTTTGAATTCTTTATTTTCCAGACTTTAATACTAAATTAAAAATTTGCCAACTTTAATCTTTTGTTCTGTTTATTTTTGCATTTTAATAAGCTTTTGTAAATCAGTCTTAATACCTTACGTAAGCATTTGTCAAAACCTGTTTGGTTGTTAGGGCACTGGGCCCATGTCCAGGAGTTCGTGGGTTCGATCCCTGCCGGCTGAGGACTCCCCATGTAGTAAATGGTGACTGATGCACGTTAAATCTGTCGAGTCGCAAATTCGTCCTCCGTGTTCCCATAACAAATCAAAACCTCTGGGGGTACTGATCCAGGAGTTCCTTAGTCTTCTGGATTGGTTCAAAATTACAAGGCTACGGAGTTGAACATTAAAAGTCGTAAACCCAAAATTGGGTCGGCTGTTCAACGATGGATAAAATAAAATACCTCTTCCCTTCTCAGCAAAATTTAGCAAATCACAAATCATATCACCTAATATTTGAAAGGCCCCAAACCATAATTCAGTTTATAATTCACTAGACTAAGTAGGCAAAAAAATCCCCAGAACTAGATTAGATGCCGCGTTTGATTCACGAATTCAAATGACACAAACCCAGGAACCCTACCATGAGCTCCATGGAATGAAATTCCATCTGGGAATGACGTCACGTTCCAACGGGAATTATTTTTCCCCACCACGAACACCTTGGAAAGAGTTTCTTGGCTGGAATTGGAATCGGTTTCATTCCAACCAGTCTCCGGCACCTGGAATCGTCGTTCCAAGGAGGGAATCATGAATTTTTAAGGACTAAATACGACATTTCGTCGATGAATGTCTTAATTTTTTTTTATTTCATAAGAGAAGATAACAAAATTTCTAAAAGATAAACGTGCCCGAGCCATTTTCAAGACGATAATTAAAAGAGAAATGTTTTGTTTCATTAGTATGTGTGAACGAAAAGATACTTTCAGAGTTAACTAAGAAATTACGGCAAACTAAAAATAATTATGCTCTCATTATATAATAGTTGTTACTATTTCTATGTTATTATTACGGGATGTATTACTTGGCCAATACCTTTTTCTGAAGTTCCAATCATTTCTTTTTTTAATTTTCTTTCGATGAACTTTTAATTCAACAATATTTAACTTCCTTTCGAACGATAGTTCTTTATACTATACACATGGCAGCACATTTAAAAGAATTTTTTACAGGCATGATGTATTATAAAGTAAACAATTTATTTATAATAAGAAATACAAAAAAGAATAAAAACGTTTC